TTTATGTTATTTATTAGAATTCCGATTAATATGTTGATTTTAAAACAATTTAGTTTTAATTGTACATAATTTTTTTTAGGATTTATTTATAAAATTTAAATTAAATGTTCACAAACTTAATTTTTTATTTTATTTGATGGATTTGGTGGATAAATTTTGGTGATAATTTTCATTATGCTTTTCAATAAATTTTTTTGTAATTATGTAGATCATATAATAGACAATTATACGTATCATGTATTTTACTTTACAAGTAGCTATTGAAATATTCATGTTTATTATTATTGTAATTATTATTATTTGACAATAAAAGTATTGTTTAAAATGTGATCGTGATAATAGTTCAATCATGTTAAGTGATCTAGAAATAAATTCAAACAAATATATTTCATTTTATTATATATTTATTTATTTATTTTAATTAATTGATAAACGTTTATATCACAAGTGCATATTGAAATCATTATTAGCATAGAAATCAATTTTTCTTTTCCCTTCATTTTTTTTTTCCAACGCAAACAAAACAAATTCTCTTTTAATGAGACAGAATCTTTTGAAAGATGAAATAAAAAAAAAAAAATTTCAAAAAAGGGTGTAACAGAAGCGGGGAGTGATCCCGAATTTAGAAGAATGACGATTCACATTTTATTTAGAGTCATCTTGAGAAACATTTTGTCACGTCTGTCAAATCAGTTGACACTTCTTGCAAAGATTAATAGGATGACGAATATATTTTGATCGTTTATTATATCAGGTAGGAAAGAATAAAAGATCGTAATCATTTAAACGTTATAAATAAAACACAAGATGAACGTGTTTTGAATTTTATCGAATTTTACGATTTTACTAAAATGTCATTCGTATAAAAAATAATAATTAAATATAGTAAAAAGTGATAATAATCTTTTGATCATCCAATTACAATTATAAAAAGTATTCTACTTATCGTTCTTATTTTTTTATTTTTTTTTTTTTAATTAATTACAAAATCCTAATTATCTTAAAGAATAAATAAAAACCACTTGCTCCTATCCACCATAAAAAAAAAAAGAAGAAAATGATGTAACAATATTATTCCTTTAATTTAAATATTTCATTAAAATAGTATATTCATAATTCTTTTTTTTTTTCCTTCTATTTTTACAGATGACTCAGTGCTCCCGTATATGAAAGTAGAATATAGTATATATATATATATATATATATATATATATTAATAATAATAATTATAATTATAATAATTATAATAATAATCGAAGCGTTTAATCATCGTGGAAAGGTTTTTATCTCGGTTTCGAGGATGAACGATACGAGTCAGTGAAATATAATTTCAGAGAGGCGTTTCTTCTATCCGTCGGATGTTAAAGATACGTTCGTGCTTGTGTAAAAGAGAAGAAAAGAGTGGGGAAACGAAAAAATAAAAAATAAAAAATAAAAAAATAAAAAGTGGGGAAAATAAAAAGAAAGAAAAGAGGTCCGAGAGATTCTCCCTCTCAAGAGAGAAACGTTTTTCATCCGTTCGTGGACGTGGACCCACCGAGTTGTGAGGTGCATCCTATTATCTTCACCCCATAAATATTAAGTAGCCGATCGAACGTTCAAACATTTATTACAAAGAACTCACTAGCTTCTCTTTCTATTTACTGCTGAATATACAACACAACAATAATAACAACACTAACACTACAAAGAAGAAGAAGAAAAACGCGAGAATACACTCGATGAATAATCGTACTACACGAGCGTCGTTGTGCGTTTAGATAAGAAACTTACCAACCTTGCCACAAGTATAACATACTTTACATTTTATTTAATTTTTTAATTTTTTAATTGTTTCTTTTTGTAACCAGCATACCAATAGTTTAAACGATTAGTGAGTGCGTAAGCAAGACTTGTGCATTTAAATTATATATCCGTTGTATTTATATGGATACGTTAAAATTAATTATTGTCATCTGTTATTAAATGTAAGTACATGTAAATTTTAATTGGTTAACTTTCTTTTTTCGTTTTCTTTTAAATTTTTAAATACTTGTGTCAAATTAGTAAAGTATTTGAATTGTTTTTGAATATTTGTTAGAATTTATATTAATTTTTGTATTAAAAAATAATATATTTTATATGTAATACTTTAAACAACTTATGTATAATATTAAATGTATTTTAATGCATTCTATTCTAATTTCTTATCAGGAATTTATATTTTTATTTTATTACTTTGATATTATTCAATAGTTACTTTCCTTTTTTGTATTTCAATCATAATTTATATACTTTACTGGTTATATATTGGTTTGTTCCAATCGTATCCATTATTTTAAAATATTAGTTACCTAAGGGAGAAAACCAAGAAACAGAAATAAATTATCGGTTGTTAGAAAAATAATTTAGTTTTCCTCATAGACATTTCTTCAGTCACGTGTACCGATACTTAAACTTACTGTAAAATCTCTGAGTCATTTTACATTCTAACAAAAAACACTTAGAACGTTACTTAAAACCATCTTGTGTTTCTATTCGTCAAATAATATTTATTTCTTGATGTCGTTGTTAGCAAAACTAGAAAATAAGTATTTACATTATATTTTGCTTTTTATTTTCTTCCTATTACCATAAGAGTGATAATGTCGTGCAAGAAAAAAAGATTAAAATATGTGCAGTTTATGAAAAGAATATGTTAACCGAAGAACGTCAGTGTCAAAAATTTTGTTTTGATAATATCAACTTGAATAATGTCTCAAGTTTAGATTATCCAATTGAAGATAAACAAAAAAATTATTGAAATAACAATAATTAATAATAAATATTATTTATATATTTTATTTATTTTTTAATTATTTATTTATTTAAAATTATTATTAATTATATTATTATAATGTGTTTGAAAATAAACCACATTTTGGAAATGTTTTGGTTTTTAAATACGATAAAAACTGTCTGTGTTCGTTTGTCATTGAATGAGGAAGAAAGAAAATAGAAAATAAAATTAAATTATTTTTCGAGAAATTTAATTGAAAGATATGATAATTAATGTATACAATTCCAATTAATGAAATCCTCGGATTCTGTTTTATCATCTTCCGTCTCGACTTAAACGAACACACCCACTTTGAAAATACGTGGATTACTATCTACGAACGTAATAACTCGATTCTATTATCTTCTTGAGAGAGAGAGAGAGAGAGAGAGAGAGGATTTTCTTCGTCCCTCACCCCTCCTCATCACTTCTCTTTTCTCTACGTCAAACATATTCTTTCTCTTTTTTTTTCTCTCTCTCTCTCTTTCTCTTTCATAATAAGATAATGTTCTCTCATCTCGTTTCTTAAGATTCCAAAAAAGACGCAACCTAGAAAGAGATGAATAATACAATAATAATTGAATGCTTATCAGAGAAATATAGATCGATCACTTTTTATGACTTTTCGTTGACATTTAATGATCATTGACCAATAAAAATAGAATTTTTTTTTTTTATTAAAAATATTATTCATGTTTATCTGCAGAAATAAACCGTAAATTCATAATATTTATTGATATTAAAGTATTGTAAAATCAGAGTTTAAAAAGAATCTGTAGATTTGTGGAATTTTATAAAATTGTAAAATAGAAGAAAAATAGTTTGGAAATTAATTAAAAAATAAAAATAGTTAAAAATAATAACTTTTAATTAAATTTACGATTTATATGGCTCACCATATGTAGAAATATTCTGCTAAATTAAAACAATTTAATCATTTTTATCAATATAAAAATTGTATTAAATTGTAATAAAAAGTGTAAAACGTAATTTAATTTATTCTCATAAATTCTGAAAAAAAAAATGAAGGAAATAGTTAAAATAAAAGAAATATTTCCTGATAATGAAGATTCTGTAAAATAATAATTATCAATTTAAATGAATGATTAAGAAATTTCTACAAATAAAATTCAAAAATTTCACGATTTTTAATATTATCCTATAATATATAATCTGAAAAAAATATATATATATAAAATTTTATTAATATTACAAATCGTGAAGCAAAATAATATTTCCAACATACGACTGTTAAAAACGATTCACCCGTTATATATACTCGGTGACACGTAACATAAACGTATATAAAGTTACATTTATTATCCGATAGTATTTTCTCTTACGATAGAATAGAAGTAAGATATTATTACAAGTGTAAATCATAAACTAATGTACATTTTATGAGACAGATAAAAGTGCAAAAAAAAAAAAATATACAATTTTTTTATTTAACGATAATTCCTAGTTGTTAACAACAAAACATATTTCTTCTTCGTAAATTTCAAACCGTGGAATTCTCTTTTGCATATTTTTGAATAAATAAATGAAATATTCAAAAGGTATAGATGAAATAAACGAAACGATCTGTGATCATACTCAAATTTTTTCTAATCTAACGATAAACAAAACCCCCTGACCCACTATACACCCCTCCCTTTATTCAAAGAATATACAACGATTGTACGAAAATTATTCAGACGTCAAGGAATACGAATAATAAAAATATTCGAGGTCGCTCTTGAAAATCAACTTTTTTAATGAATATTCATTCGTTTATTCGTTACGTTACACAAACGTAATCGTGAATAGTCGTTTTCACATAATCGTTAAAAGAAATGCAAACTTATCCATTTATAACTTCGATAAGAGAATTCTTTATCGATTTATTTGAAAGTTCATCGAATTCATAATTGTAATAGAAAGGTATTACATTCTTATATAACAATATTGTTTATGATAATCATACCAACAAAAAGAATAACACCTTTGAATATAAATGAGCATATAATATTATTTAAAACACGTTGAATAATCGTTTAATTTATCGTGACGTAAATGACGAACTTTTTCTTTCCCCGTTCCCTTCTTTCTCCTGACCATCCTCCCCCCTTCCTTTATTCGTAGTTTCCCACGCGGTGATATTAATTATAAACGTGTGTATGTGTGTGTGTTTGTGCATGCGCGTGCGTGCGCTGCTTTGACACTCATAATATCGACGATTTTATACAGAACGAGACTGAAAGTTAACTTTATCGCATCGTGAACCATGTTTGTTATTCATTTCCTCACTCATTCTTTGACATTATTTCTCTTTCATACATTTTCTTATTCTTTTCGTTTCATCTACGGTTCTTTTACATTAGTTAAACCATTTTAATCACGTGTAGATAATACGAAGATACGAGGATGATCATCACGTAGAAGAAACTTAACATTTGTCAAGCCTAGATAGATATAATTTTAATACTTGACATCATCCGTGATACTCGGATTTGTATTTCAAAAATAAAAAAATTGTATTGTGTTTGACGATTTCGATCTGTCGAAAATAGAAAAGCATAACAAGTTACGCGAGTATCGATATGTATTGCTGCTGTTTTTCAAGGTGATCCAGAGAATTTACGTGAACGAGAATTTTTTAAGATCTTTCAGAGAAAACAAACATCGTTAACAAGAGTGAGTTTATTTTATTTATTTTTATTTTTCTATCATACCAATTATTTAATTATATATATATATATAATTTTATTTATAATTATTTTTAATAATAAATATATGATTTATTTAATATTTCCTAACCTTTCATTTAATTGTCTTTCAATTTGTCTAAAAAATTATTAACCTTGAATTCAAATAATAATTTTTTAATTTTCTTAATCTTAAAAATATTCACTTTTTTACAATTATATTTGTATGTACTTTTTTTTTTATTTATTCGATTATTATCATGTTTTATTATTTGATTAAAGTATATAGTAATAATAATTACAATATTTTGCAAATATATATTATTTTGCTTGTTAAATATAATATTGAATTAATTTGTATATTTAATTTAATTATTATTATTTTTTATTTATTTCATTTTTATTCAGTGTACGGAAATATGCGATACCTTTTCGCGATAATGCTTTCCATCGCGAATATGATCATTTACGGTCTCAAGGTCAACATATCATTAGCGATAATTGGTATGGTAAAATTACACGAAGCATCATCATCAAACGAGTGTCCTGAATTTGGGGATGAAGATGCCAAGGATGATGCTGATATGGACGGACCGTTTGATTGGTCGGCTACTGAACAAGGACTCGTTGTTAGCATATATTTCGCAGGATATCTTATTGGAATGTTTCCTTCGGGATATTTCGCAGATCGGTGAGTTGTTTTTAATCAAATTTATTTTTTTTAATCCTTGTTGTCGCACACGTATCGTTTACAATGAAAACACATTACTAAATGTTTACTTTTCATAAAAAAAAAAAAAAAAAAAAGAAAATATTTCTCAGAACTCACTAATCAACTATTAAGTAATATTAAACGAGTATACGTTTTATGTGAGAAAAGAATCTTTACACAAATATCTTNACTCGTTGTTAGCATATATTTCGCAGGATATCTTATTGGAATGTTTCCTTCGGGATATTTCGCAGATCGGTGAGTTGTTTTTAATCAAATTTATTAAATATACCCCACCATGGTACATGTTTTGCCATTGCATTCAATGCGTACTTGCAAAACATGCATTATCAAAAAAAAAAAAAAAAAAACAAGAAAATATTTCTCAGAACTCACTAATCAACTATTAAGTAATATTAAACGAGTATACGTTTTATGTGAGAAAAGAATCTTTACACAAATATCTTATAAATAAACTCTTCCTCATTATGTGAGATGTAAGAATTATCTGTTGTTTTTTTCTTTTACGATTACGCATCGTAAATACACGATATTGCACATGTTTCGTAACGAATGATTTCTAAATTATCGTTGGCACGTTTATTTTCATTTATACGATAACCAAATATTCTATTTTCCAATAATAAAATACAAGATGTAGGGGACTGTGTATTATCAGATGTATAATGAATCATTAATATAAAGAAGTATGAGTAGATAAAAGTGATTTAAATTGTACCATTTTGATAAAAATTTCTTTCTAACAGAAAGCTTGTATTATTATGTGACATATTATTTCTATAAAACTATTAAAATGTTGACAATTTAGAAATACTGGGTGCACTAGTATTTTCTACAAATTATTACTACAATATTTAATTAGTAAAAATAATGAAAAAAACCGTTTAACAAAAATTCATTTTCAAATGATTGATTAATAAACTTACGTTTGTATAATATTTTGTATTTTATGTTTATTGTGAGAATATATCGGAAAAACAAAACTAGGTCATCCCTTATGTATTTTTATAAATCATTAGAATAATGACAGTCACGATACCATTTTGAATAATTTAAATCAATAAGATTTAAAAATTAATGTATATACATATATATTGATTGATTTATTATTACAATCATAAAAGAAGAGAAAAAGATAAAAATAAATAAATAAAAAAATAATTTCTATTTTTATATAGATTCAACACGAAGATAGTGTTACTGATCTGTGTATTAGCAAATGCAATTTTAACGATCATCGTACCAATCGCGGCTAACGTATTGATAGTTCTGCTAACTGTGAGATTTTTAATGGGTATCATGAGTGCCGCCAATCTACCAGTGGTTAACGTACTCGTAGGAAAATGGGTTGTTTACGAAGAAAAGAGTATGTGGGTTGGAATAATCTACGCTGGAACATCATTGGGAACGGTCATATCGATTCTCTCAGCTGGTTTGATCATGGATACACTTGGATGGGAAGCAGTATTTTATATTCACGGTACACTGCCGTTAATTTGGTGCGCGTTATTTTACTTTTTCTTCGAGGATTGTCCAGAAGAACAAAAATTCATTACCGAAGAGGAAAGAACATTGTTAGTTAATACTTATGGTCATCGTTCACCTGTTTCCGCTAAAATGATTATACCTTGGAAAGCAATATTCACTTCTGTACCATTTTGGGCATTGATTTGGACCAACACTCTTGGAAACTTTTGTTGGTACTTCTTATTAACACAATTACCACTATATATGAACAAGATTTTACGATACAATATCACATCCGTAAGTATTGAACATAGCTCGTGGATAAATTTAATGCTTAATTTTGTTTATTTTGATCGATACAACCAACATTTTTCTGGGTTGTTTTTACAGAATGCAATTATCAGTTGTACGCCATATCTAATAAATGCCATAACTAATCCATTACTTGGCAAAACATTAGATTGGGGTAGGAATAAAGGTTATTGGTCTCAAACTGGTGCAAGAAAACTTGCTGTATTTGTAAGTAAGTAATCATTTATTATTTGTTTAATTTCATATTATTACTTTAAAAAAAATAATGCATTGTTTATTAGATAAAACTGTATATAAAAATAATGAGAAATCTTTTTGTACACAGGTTGCGTACCACCATGTATATTTCTCGTAGTGATTATGTACATCGGATGCGATCGTATAACGTCGACGGTACTTTTGGTATTGAGTATAATTGTTTGTGGTGCCATTTTTGTCGGTCATCTTTGCAATCAAAACGATTTGGCACCGAATTACGCTGGTATTCTTATGGGAATAACGAATACGCCAGGAACAATCTCGGCGTTCATCTTGCCAGGATTGGTGGGATCTTTAATGGAAGGAGGGGTGAGTTAAGAGATGCTTTAAAAGTCGTTAAGATGCTGCTGCACCAATGGCAAACATCGAAAAGGCCGAACTAACTCCGCCTATTATCTTTCATTTCGATCGTATCTTTTCTTAGATAAAAAGAAAAATTAGAATTTAACTATGTTTCATTGTTGATATACCATTTCATTACAATTCTTTTTCTCTACATGATTTATTAAATTATTTAAATGTTTTTTTAACGAGTTTATTCATTATTCATATAATTTGTCATTGTTTAAAAATATTTATCAATTTTTATTTTTTACAGTAAAATATTTTTTTTAACGTTTGTAACTGCTCGAAAAATTCTTGTCAAATTTTATTTTTTTTTTTTATAAAAATTTAGTGTAAAACACTTGTATATATTTTAACAAATTGTTAAGAATGTATTTTTTAACGTTAAATATTATATTATACTTGTTAATTTCAAATTCACGTTATTTGTGATTTGATTTGTTTTTTATTTTATTTTTTAGCATACAATTGTAAAATGGCGATACGTTTTTTGGATAAACATAGTAGCACAACTACTTGCCTTTATAATATTTACGGTATTCGGTTCCGGAAAAATTCAACCATGGAATAACCCAGAAAATAGAGAAAATGTTAACTGGGACAACGGAGAGAGACAACAAGAAACTAGAACGTAAATCCATGTGCATATTTGTTATCGATGAAATTTATTGAAAGCAAGGATGACACAAAGTTTATTTATACATATCGTTCCTTGGTTATTTTTAAGATACGTTTATGTACTTTGAATGTACCAGTTTTTTTTTTTTTTTTTTTTTTTTATATTTATACCGAAGAAACAATGATTTTGTTAGTGAAATCATTTTATTATCTTCATGGGACTTTGACAAACACATGTGTTCGATAGATGAATTATTATTTTTAATTAAATTTTTTACATGTTACGCTTACATTTATATAAAAATAAATTTATTAATGTTTATATTTATATCAATGAATATTTTTCTTAGAAAATATTCAATCGAGTTTATAATATTTAGTTATTAATTTTATATTATTGTTATTTATCTATTTTTATTTTTACATAAAACTTCACATTTTATAGTAAATGAGTACATCAATCGTTGTATTACAAAACATAATAATTTTCTAAATATGGACCAATTTTAGCTAGAAGAATAACAAAAAGACATGTCTCTGTTATTATGGAATAAAAAAAAAAATTATAATAAATAGAAAGATTATAATTACACGACAAATTAGATGTCAACGAGACTTAAACGAATTATACTACGTACGAAAATTGGCATAAGTTTTAAAGAAAGATGAAAACGAACGATACGAAGAGTCTTTCTTGAAAGAATGTAAAAACGTAAAAAAAAAAAAAAAAGAGAGAGTGAGAGAGACCACCCATAATGACGAAAGACGATGGCAATTAGGGCTCACACCCCACCTACAAAAATCTCTTTTATTCCAATTAGATTCTTAACCATGGCTTTGGTTGCCGACTCTGAGTGACGCCTCGTGTTCATGGAAAATATTTGTCGAGTTAAAGTGGATAGAAGAAAGAGAGAGAGAGAGAGAGAGAGAGAGAGAGAAAGAGTGAGAGACAAGGATAAGGTTGGGCCCTTTTGCTCGAAAGAAGTACCACGTCTCTCTCACGACGCGTGGAATATTTATGGAGGCTGAAATATTACGTTTGTAATCTATTTCCAGCATATAGACGACCACGTCGACAAAACTAACGTGCCACCGTAAAGTCATTTCCGCTTTCCTTTTAAATATTACCTAGCCCTTTTTCTTCTTCTTCTTCTTCTTCTATTTCTTATCCCTCAAAAGCAAGAAATTTTCAAGATTTTTAACTTTCAGAAAATTATACATTTTTACGATCTTAAAATCCTTGTTTTGTTTCAAATGAAAGATCTCGTTTTATATGTATAGTATATGTATGTATTTGCTCTCACGTTTTTTTTGCAATAAATAGGTTTTATTTTTTATATACATATGGAAAAATGTTGTAACACGATTGATTAAACGATTGGATTTTATAATTTGAAATTTGAATATTTTTCGTTAAATTTTATTACCTTTTATTAGAGGTGTGGTTACTTTATGATTATTGTATCGTAATTATACACATTTATTGTATTATTTAATATTTAAAATAGGAGTATTCAATTGAATATCCGCTTTTTTTTTAAATTCGAAATTTTAAATTCCACATTAAACGTTATCATTTATTTTTATTCGATTTTACGTAGATTAAAACGATGAAATTATCGTTTTATTATTTAACCGAGAGAATATCAACATATATATATTTATTATTTCAATTGATATTTAAATGATTTTCAATTAAATCTCGAGACTATTAATTTTGGTTTAAAAACCGATCATTTGATCAATCGTTCTAATGGTACAAATTAGTTTGTAATGTTGTTTGAATATATTTCTAATTAAAAAAAAAAAAAAAAACATATCTAATATAACGATCTTTAATAAATCATGTCTAATGTTACAACACTAATTTTATCCCATAAATTCTAAAAAAGAGAAAAAATAAACGATTTATACACAAAGATTCAATTTAATTAATCGTTCAAGTAATTATATCGAAACAACATCGATCAAACATATCGTTTGTGAGGAGAAGGATAGAGAAGGAAAAAAAACTTAATTAGAAATAAGAAATAGAAAAAAAAAGGTAATAGAATTCGTAGAAGATAAGTCGTAAATGAAAATAAATGATGACACGCGCCTTTTTACTAGGTGGTCCTAGCAATAGACGAACTTAGTAGGGGCTTCTTCTTCATCGTGTTTACTAATTCATGAGATGAATAACTTAAGGATATACGTTCACAGTTTATGAATAATGCTTATTCGAGTCCTTAACCCGATCATATAACAGGTGACCCTTTCCGCTTCTGCGGGCTTTCAACTCGTCGATATACACGTGGGAATGCACCTGTCGGTCGCTCTTGAATATACTCGAAAATAATTTTAATTATGGTTGCATACTCAGTGCGTACAACTTTAATGACCGTATTCACACGGTTATTTTGTTGTAATTCGAGACCTACAAATTCCATTATACGCTTTAACCGTATCCTATATGTAATTAGATAAAATAGTTTTATATTTTATTCTTAAAATGTATATATCAAATAATTAAAATATATAAAAAAAAAACAAATATAGTGAAAAAAATATTATTTCGTATTTTTTCCGATATATGATTTTAATAATAAATTTAATAACTTTGATATAATAATAATAGTAATTAGATTTACTGATATAAAGAAACGATTATGTAATCGAATATTTTACATAAGATAGATATATTTTTGATCATATATCAAGAAGAACGAGAAAAAGTAAAAAGAAATAAAGCATAAGCTAGTAAGATGTAAAAAAAATAAAAAATATAAGATAAAGTAATTAATCACGCGCTAATTACGATCCGGTAAGAGTAGGTAGGTTGAAGGTTAGAAGAGTAAGGTTAAAAGGGCAACTCGTTTGCTTAGAATCCACGTGGACGACGGACGAGAGGGAGGTTGTGGGGAGAAGAAGAGGTGGAGTGGGTTGTGGAAGGAGGAGTTGACGGTTCTTGTAACTTGGAGACGAGACGAGACGAGACGAGACGGTTAATCAATCCTGAAGCTCGTTACAGTCAGTAAGGGCTGCGCTTCGCTACTTGAAGTGGCGTTAACGCATCCGGGTAAGGCACTAAAATGTCAGAAATTGTTAATCTACTCTGGGGACTCACGCACGTTGAAATCGTACGAGCACATTTACGGTTCATCACAAGTATGTACGTATGTACGTATGTCATGTGCATGTAAGTATGTGTGTAGAGATATAAGTATAAACGTAAGTGTATTAACATGTGTGTGAACACATGTATATGTGTGTTTGTATGTGTGCTATATATCGTACGCTTTTCCAAGAAATAAACCCTTACTCTAGCTCTTGCCCTTTCTCCATCCTTCCTTCCTTCCTTCCTTCCTTCCTTTTCGAGATGAGGGAGGAGAGGAGGGATGAGGTGAGGTGTGGAGAGGAGAGGGTTTTGCCGACGAGCAACGCCAGCAGACCGCACCGTTATTACTAGCGATAAATCGCCACGTTTAATAAGAGCTCGCGAGCACGACGTACTAGACGTAGGTTAGAGACGGCGAAAGTATGTTGAACCCGAAGTACGAAAGGTCGAGTGCACTCTATTCAAAACGATGTCCACACAGAGGTTGCTGCTGCTGTTCGTTCATTCCTTCCTTCCTTCCTTCCTTCCTTCCTTCCTTTCTTCCTTCCTTCCTACGTTTCTTCCTTTTTCCTAAGTATTACATCGGTCCTATCCCCGTTTTCAACCAGTTTAACCAAGATATTTTCGACTCTCTCTTTCTCTCTTTCTCCCTTTCTCTTTTTTTTCTCTTTCTCAGGAATCCGAAGTATTTCCAAAGTACTAAGAAAGAACGAACTAATATTTCTCTTGACTTTTTTTTCCTCTTTTTTCTTTAACTCTATGTACTACTGATTGAATCGTATTACTGTTGAGTATTTTTATTCTTATTATAGTATTACTTTAGTATAATGGAAATTTGATTTTTGTCTTGAATTTATAACTTTTTCTTTTTTATAAAAGATATTTTATTTATGGTTTATTAGGTATTAAATTACAAATGCTATTTTTTATTATATTTTTAATACTTTGTATTGTGTTGACAAATATTTTATTTCTTATCTTTTGTTAAACCGAATTTGAATTAATAAGAATAATTATATCAAGAAAAATCATAAGAAAACAAATTTACTATTTACAAAGTAACATATGGTATTCTATTTTTCTATTATATTTTTAATACTTTGTTTTGTGTTGAAAAATATTTTATATTGTATCTTTTGTTAGATTGAATTTTAATATTTTAATAGACATAATTATATCATAAAAAAAACACGTTATCTTTTTACAAAGTAACATATGGTATGCCATTTTCCTATTATATTTTTAATATATCATCTCATATGTTAAATATTAAAATTAAATTTACAAATAATTAAAAATTAAAATGCATCGCATATTAAGCTTTAAACAACTATTACAAATAATATAATAATTTTGAATAAAAATTAAAAGAAATATGAGAAAATATCAAATGTAAAAATAAAATATAACTTAACCTACATTCATAATTAATAAGCATCATTACTCAACCTCCCTTGTATCGTTAATTAGATAATTTTACAAAGAATCTAGGTTATTGGTATCAAAGAGTATACAAAACAAAAAGAAATAAAAAGAAGAAGAAAAAAGAAGAAACAGTAGTCGGGTGATTGTGTTTCCGTGTAGCATCATCGAGTTGTACAGTCAGAAAGCGCAGCTGTTAAGAGACACTCGAGGACGACCCTTAAAACCTTTTCCCAAACCACAAATCCCTTCGAGACAGAGCGCTATTAAGGTCTCGATGTGTCACGTGCTCACACTTGAATCTACCGTGCACGTGCATCCATGGAAAACGATGAGAGTGAGAGACGTGACGCGTCATTCACGTTCATTCCTTTTCCCTTCCTACCCGCCTTTCCCAACTCCTCCTCCTCTTTTACCTCCTTTACCTTTCTCTTCTTCCAAACCCCTTCCACGTGGAACTTCGAATTTAATTGCACTCGTGTGTCGCTTCAATTATTACCCGCGTTGTATATATATAGTCATGACCGGAAAGGTCCCCTGTCTTTCAAACACTCGTTTATGCAATCATTTGCATATATTTGAACCTTCTTGACCTCGAATAGAATGAATTCAATTCTATTATACCTTCTTATTATTTTATTTTGTTGTTTTTCTTTTTTCTAGCCCACCTCACTCGGTCGATGTTAACGAAGCTCTTTCGTGCTTACAAAGGAAAGTTAAAAATGCTTATTTCCTGTTTACGTCTTATGGTCATCATGGTGGGAAATAATTAATGAGACTTATATGAATTTATACACCAACTGCTCGAAGTTTGGAGTTCTTATGTAAATTTGCAAAAATGTGACGGAATATATTTAAGAGCTAATGAATCCCTTTGGAATAACCGAAGTAGATATTTTATTTGTTAAGAAAAATTTACAAGTAAAATATTTTCTTTTATGTATTATTTTTTTTTTATGCAAGAATTTATTTAAAACAAAATTCTGATATATTTTAGGAACCCTAGCAATTAGTTTATAGTATGTTTTTAATTAAATATTTTTCTATGTTGCTTGTAAAAGTTTCTAAAGGAATCCCAATAGAAAAATTCATTTCAATTATTGCCATAAACTGGGTGTATAAATTGTACGATAAAAAAATGCTGATACTTTTTTAAAAACAATACAACTTATTGTTAATAACATTTCATTTAATTTTGACAGATCATATCA